CTAGAGGTGTGATCCTCCCTGTTGCCCAGCTGCCATGCCACAAGCCGTGGCAGGGAGCAAAGGCTGGAATTGAAAACCGCTGCCTCGTGGATCCAACCAATTTTGTCGGTAGTGGTGGCAGGGACAGTTTGAGGAAAAGCAGAGCTGGTGGGACACCGGCTGAGCATAGTTTGAGGGTTTATACCATAGCTGAAAACATGGAAACGCACACAAACACCACAGGGCCTGTAGAAGAGTGTCCTCTCTATATAGGCGGGTGTTGAAGCCTGATTGGCTCTGGTCTGGGTGACTCAGAAGCTACTGGTGTGCATAGAGGTTGGCATTCAGGCAGATAGAATGCAGAGCTGTTGTAAAGAAACCTGGTTCCAGAGCACAGGGTTCTATGTGTCCTCAGCAGTCCTGCTCACAGGCAGGAGGGAACGTGAAGAGCCTGGCCGAGTCACAAGCACCAACGTTATGGCACTGTTCCCCAAATGGCTGCAGCAGACAGTGGGTCCTAAGACCATGGTGGGTCATGAAGACAGCTGTCCCAGGCAAGGAACCATGCAGTGGGTGAGAGACTGAGACTGATAGGCAGGCCATGCAGAGTGAGGTTGGATATTTATTTAGTGGGTTATGGAAGGGAAGGGGAGAGGGAGGGATAAGGGGGACAAGGAAAGAAACAGAGGGGAGAGGAGAGGAGCCATGGCAGCAGCTATCTCTTTGGGAGAAGGATGGAAAGGAAGGGAGCTCAGACTGGAAGCAGACAGAAGATCTGCCTGCCTCAGCAGTGGAGGAGGAGGGAGTGGGCAGGGCTTGTCTCTTAAAGGGACAGGACAGACCATTGCATCCCCATCTGTCTTAGTATTGCTTTTGCTGCAATGCAACAGCATGATCAAGGCAACTTGGAGAGTAAAAAGTTTATTTGGCTACTCTGCCATATCACAGGTCATCACTAAAAGAAGTCAGGTCAGGTATTCAAACAGAGCAGGAACCTGGAGGCAAAAGCTGATACAGAAGTCATGGAAAGTTGCTGCTTACTGACTTGCTCCCCTCCCCAATTAAGAAAAGTTCCTACAGACTTTCCTACTGCCAGATCTTATGGAAGCATTTTCCCTGTAATGGTCTGTCCTGTCCCTTTAAGAGACAAACCCCTCCCACTCTCTCCCCTCACCCCCACTGAGGCAAGCAGATCTTCCTTCTGCTTCCAGCCTGAGTTTCTTCCTTTCCATCTCTCTCCCAAAGAGGCAGCTTCTGCCTCTCTCCTTTCTCCCCACTTCTCCTTTCCCCCTCTCTCTGTTTCTCTCTCTCTCTCTGTTTCTCTCTCTCTCTCTCTCTCTCTCTCTCTCTCTCTCTCTCTCTCTCTCTCCTCTTCTCCTCTTCTCCATTCTCCCCTTTCCCCTCCATAACCCACTAAATAAATACCCACTTTCTCTGCGTGGCACACCTCTGTCTCTCATCTGCCTCACAGCTCCCTACCTGGAACCTGCTGGCCCTCGTGGCCCACGGGTCACTTGGGGAACCACAGTGTTTTACCACCGCAGCCCCAGTGGCCTGCTGCCCACTGCAGGCACTCGGAGACCTCTGTGGTGTTTCATTTTTACCATAACATTCCCTATTGAGGTTCTCTCTTCTGATGACTCTAGCTTTTGTTAACTTGATATAAAAATAGCCAGCATCCTCTCCTCTCCTCTCTCTCTCTGTCTCTCTCTGTCTCTCTGTCTCTCTCTCCTTCTCTCTCTGTCTCTCTCTCTCCTTCTCTCTCTGTCTCTCTGTCTTGTCTCTGTCTCTGTCTCTGTCTCTGTCTCTGTCTCCCTCCCTCCCCCCCCCCCCCCCCCCCCCCCCCCCCCCCCCCCCCCCCCCCCCCCCCCCCCCCCCCCCCCCCCCCCCCCCTCTCTCTCCCTCTCTCTCTCTCTCTCTCTCTCTCTCTCTCTCTCTCTCTCTCTCTCTCTCTCCTCATGGATCAAGCAGTCTACTGGTCATGTTTAGTCTACTACTTTCTCTCCCTGCTCTGGATTCTTCAAGATTGTAGCCCAATAAGCCTCTCTGCTGATGCAATAATCCAAATCAGACCAAATTAAAACAAATTAGAAAAAGCCCAGGTTTAATGGATGCCAGCACTCCTAGGAGGCCTTTCAGGAGAACACAGACAGGGGAAAGAGGAACAGGGCAGACCACGTGTTCGTTCTCTAGGGGGCAGTTTAAATAGTCTGTGGGAATGGTCTTGACCTTCCCTGGGGAAGGGTCACTCTTTGGTGGGTTTTTCGGAGGTGGAGTCTGGGCTGTAGCAACTCCAAGAAGAGGAGGCCTGGAATGGAAAGTTCCACTCAAACATTTTAGAATGGATGCCGGGGGGCTGGAGTGACGCTTCCAACCAATTTCCCCTGATGCTCTAGGCATTTGCCTTTCTCTCCTGAAGCAGTCCATGCCCCAGCTTCTGCCATATTGCTCTTTGTCCAACCTCCACGTCTAACTCAAAAGGCACGGCTTTCTTCTCTCTCTTTTCCACTTTATTCTTCTGGAAGCTGCTGAGACGTACAGTTTGCCTGCTCTGTTGTTGTTGTTTTCTTTATTAAACTCTAACAAAACCATCCTCAAGCTTCCTTCTGGGTCCATTTTAATATTTATTTATTTTATTTCAGACAGGATCCCACTATGTAGACCAGGCTAGCCTGAAACTCATAGAGATCCACCTGCCTCTGTCTGCCAAGTGCTGGGATTAAATGCATGTGCTACCAAGCCTTCCTTTTTTAAAAAGAATTCTTTTGTTAATGAGACTACGCATCCAAAGAAGGGACTCCAATTTCCCTGATAACACTGAAACTGCTTTTGGGGTTCAAGACTACAGGAAAGTAGGGTCCTCCTCACGATAATCCTACATTATAATTATCATAAATACACTCCTAACTATAGAGCCAGAAGTGGCAGTGTGTTTGTGTGAAATCTTGTATACATCTCCTTCAGAACTTTGAAAAATATAAAAAAAAAGTCTCCCAATGACATTTCTTTCTTGTTTCTTGCTTTGTTTTGAGATTTATGTGTATGAGTATTTTTCCTTAACTGTGTGTGTGCCTGGTGCCTTCAAAAGCCAAAAGAGGACATTAGCATCAGAATCTTCTGGAACTGGAATTACAAGTGATTGTGAGCTCAACATGGGTACGAGGAACTGAACCAGGGTCTTCTGAAAGAGCAGCAAGTATTCTAAATGCTGAACCATCTCTCTACCCCCTTGTTTTAATTGAACTTGTTTTCTATTACTTTTACTTGGAATTTCCTTTTCTTTTTAATGTGTCTGGATGTTATGCCTGTATGTATTATCTGTGCACTACTTGCATGCCTGGTGCCCAAGGAGGCCAGAAGAGGCCATCAGATACCCAGTAACTATAGTTACAGACAGTTGAGACCTGCCTTGTGGGTGCTGGGACCTGAACCATCGTCCTCTTGAAGAGCACCCAGAGCTCCTTAGCCACCTCTCCATACCTCCTTGTTGCTTTGGGGACAGGGTTTCATGTATATCAGGCTTGTTTCCAATTCCCTATAGGTGATCTTGAACTTCTGATCCTCCTGCCTCCACCCTGCAAGTGCTGAGCTTATGGGTGTGTGCTATCACACTGGGTTTATGTGGTGTCAAGGACTGAGCCCATGGCTTCATGCATGTGAGCTAAATATTCTATTCAGTTGAGCTACATCCCAGCTCATCCAATGACAGTTCCAATACATAAAACCTGTAATATCTATGCACTGCAATTTTTTTTTTTTTTTTTTGGTTTTTCAAGACAGGGTTTCTCTGTGGTTTTGGAGCCTGTCCTGGAACTAGCTCTTGTAGACCGGGCTGGTCTCGAACTCACAGAGATCCGCCTGCCTCTGCCTCCCAAGTGTTGGGATTAAAGGCGTGCGTCACCACCGCCCGGTTTATGCACTGCAATTTAATTCAACCAAAAAAAGGAATAAAGTAGCGAAACTTGCTATAAACTTGCTATTGTGCAAAGTTACAGAAACCAGTCCCAAACGATCATATATATTTATATTAAATACAGAAAATAAGCTGGGTGTGGTGGGAAACACCTTTAATTCCAGGATTCTGAAGGCAGAGGCAGGTGGATCCCTGTAAATTCAAGGATAGCCTGGTTTACATAGTGAGATCCTGTTTTCAAAAGCCCAGATACCAAAACTTTACAGACGGCACAGTCTCTAAGTTGTTGGCTGAAATGGGAAGGATTGGGAATCAGTTAAATACAACTAACTTTCTTCTTGTGAGTGGTAAACCGCTCAAACTAATCGTTGCTCAACTGAATATCCTCACACTCACAGAAAGAATAGCTTAAATGGGTGAATTATACAGTATGTCTCACATGACAACCATACAAGCCAGGGCTTGTAGTGCACGCCCTGTTTTGATCTTTGGACCACCTGAGAGATGAAAACAGCTTCTTGTGTATCTAAACCCACTGAGTTTCAAGCTACTTCCATTTGCTAGTTTATTCGTTAATCCCTTTAACAGTCACATACGACCCTCTCTCTCCCTGGAAAAGTGGCAAGTTTTTAAAATAACACCATGGCTAAGAATGAACTGTGTGCGATGCAGAGCCGCGTTCCATGAGCGCGCGTTATTCTGTATGTTTACAGCAAGGCACACATACAAATGCCCACGGGGCCTTTCGAAAGGTTCTGATCGAACCGGTCTCAGTGCCCCTGGTCCTTGCCCTCCAGGACTCTCTCGCTCTAGGACAGGGGGGTAGCAGCACAGCTCCCAACACCAGTGGACAAAAGTGCCCCCACAACCTAGGGCTGAGGAAAGTGATAGAGTCTTTAGGTAACTGTTGGTCTCAGCAATCCCTCAGCTCCGCCTGGCACACACCAAAAGCCGCCGCCCTCAGACAAACCCAGAGAACAATACACCCAGCCCTGCCCCCAGCGACCGAGCCGCGCCCAGGCGGTGGCCGCGCCCTGCCGGGAAATGTAGTTTCTGAGGCCTGACTTGCGCAACTGTCCGCCGCCCGGGAGCCGCGCGCAACTACAAATCCCGTCACGCCCCGCGACACTCGCTCGTCAGATTTGCCGGAAGGGATCGCGGTTGACATGGCGGAGAACCCGCAGGGCGGCGGTGCGAGTTGTTTGCAGCACCCAGTTCCTAGTGCGAGCCACGGCAGCTTCCCAGAGTACGAGCTTCCGGAGCTGCACACCCGGGCGTTCCACGTGGGCGCCTTTGGGGAGCTGTGGCGCGGCCGGCTCGGGGCCCGGGATTTGTCGCTGAGCGAGCCGCAGGCAGCCGGGCAGCCTGCGGACCGAGGGTCGTCGGACAACAGCTTGGAGGATGCTGCGGTGGCCCGTGATCTGGGCTGCAGTCTGGAGGCGGCGGCAGAGCTGAGGGTCGTGTGCGGGTGAGTGCGCGGCCTCGGCGCTCAGCGTGGGCACGGCAGGGTGCAGCCTCGTCCCTGCGCTCCCCGGGGACTCTTCCGGGCGAGGGACAGTGGTTTAACCTTCACTCTCTCCCCCCACCCCCACCCCCAAACCCTTTCCGGAAGGAGAAGAGGTGCTGGGGTCCAAAAGTACAGTTTATGAGGATAGATTCAGTAACGGGACACGACAATTGCATAAAAGACTTTGCTATTCTTTGATCTTGAAAACGCTTGTTGGAGTACCCGCGGTATATATCATTGACATTTGGACAATGGAAGTACGTGAGGCTGGGGAAGACTTAATCAGAGCAGTGCTGAAGCCCGAATTAACCGTAATCTCTAGTGGTACTCGTTAATATGTTATTACTTAAATTTCTCCCAAAACTACCTGGGGGTAGAAATATAAAACTTCTTTGTAATGGTTCTCCATTTGACAGTACTAACTGTTCTCATATCCATCCTTTCAATATAACATTGGCACAGAAACCATTGTCTTGAATTCTGGCCTCCTTTGAGCCGCCTGCTGGATTTCATAAGACTTCTTAATTATTTAGTGATGTATTTAGGACAAGCTCTGACCCGCTGTTGAAAAATGCACGGCTGATCATAAAATGTTGCTTTTCCTTTCTCCTTCTCCTGACCCCTCCCTCTTTCTAAGCCTTGATAAACTGAGATGCCTCGAAGAAGATGAAGACCCGGAAGTCATCCCCGAGAACACTGATCTGGTGACTTTATGGTATGATTTTGTTTTGTCATAAACTATTTGTTTTGGTGCTGGGGCGAAGCACGACCTATCACTAAACTACCCTGTTTGGCTTTCTGCTATTTAACTGAACATTTTTGGAATGTCTTTCTTTGGAAAGTGTAGTATTCTCCACATTCCCACCACTTAAATTCAACCACTGAGTTTGGTGTCCTGGCTCATAACTGCAATTCCATCATTTAGGAAGCTGAGTCAGGAAGATTAATGCAAATTAGAGGCTAGCCTTGGTTACATGAGTTCAACGACTGATTTTTGTTTTTTAAACATTTGGACTCCCTTGCTTTAACCTTTTGAGTCTGGGGCACAGTTTTCCCACTGGTACATCAGTTTGTAGCTCCAAAAGTACCATTTTGCATAATCAGGGTGATTTTCTTTTCTTGGTTTTTCAAGACAGCGTGTCTCTGTGTAGCTTTGGAACCTGTCCTGGAACTCACTCTGTAGCCCAGGCTGGCCTCAAACTTAGAGATCCTCCTGTTTCTCGGCCTCCTGAGTGCTGGGATTAAAGGCGTGCGCCACCACTGACTGCCTGGCAAGAGTGATATTTTTACATCTAAAATAAAACCTTATAAACACGAAATCTCTGATATATAATACATATTCAAATTTGTACTTATATTTAATATAGACTTAATCTATTTAGATTTCGGAATGCAAGCTAAATAACTCAGATAGTGTTTCTTGAAATACCCATGGTAAAGAGCCAGTTGTAGGAAAGATGACATACACCTTTAATCCCAGGGAGGCGGAGGGAGGCAGGCAAATCCCTGTGAGTTTGAGGCCAGCCTGGTCTAAATAGTGAGTTCCAGGCCATCCATGGATATATGATGTCTAGAAAGAAAGAAAGAAAGAAAGAAAGAAAGAAGGAAGGAAGGAAGGAAGGAAGGAAGGAAGGAAGGAAGGAAAGGAAAGAAAGAAGCACCAGTTGTTCATTTGTTTGTTTGTTTGGTTTTGGTTTTCAAGACGGTTTCTCTGTAATAGGTCAAAGGTATAGACGCCACCGACAGGCTCACTAATTAATCTTAATAATCTTGTAAAATGTTCGACTTTTCAAAACAGCCTAAATCTATCTCTATGCTTATCTTTTCCTAAAACTTTCTTCTGTCAATAACATAAAAATAAAAACAAAAATCTAGCAAGAGTGGCAGCTCACATTTGTAGTCCCAATATTTGAGAGACAGAGGAATGAGGATTGCCAGAAAGTCAAGGTCAGCCTTGTTCCAGGCTATTTTAAGAACAGAAATCTAAAATTCCTTAATTATAATTTTCTGCCATTCTATTTCCCTTTCCTCTTCCTCCTCCTTTTTTTCTTTAGTTTTTTTGAGACAGGGTTTTTCTGTGTAGCTTTGGAGCCTGTCCTGTAGACTAGGCCGTTGAACTCACAGAGATCCTCCTGCCTCTGCCTTTCAAGTGCTAGGACTAAAGGTGTGTGCCACACCACCCGGCCTGTATCACTTTCTGATGAAGAAGCTTCTTGGCACACTCAGGCATTGGAGAGGGAAAGAGGACACGTGTCAGAAATGGATTCTTGCTCTGTGCCATCCTCCTTATCATAACAAGCTAAATAACTTGACATAACAAGCTAAATAACCCAGCAAAACAAAGGGTTTTAATTCATGAACTCAGAGAGGAAATTGTTAATACTACATATGCTAATGGTAAAATCTCTTCCCCAAAGCCTTTAACACCTTTATTGCATTTCACACATAACAATTTTAACTGCTGTATCTACCCATCCCCCTCGCTGGTGTGGCCAAGAAAGCACTCTTTACTGCTCCAGCCATCTTGCACCATTTAAAGGATTAAAAGAAACTGTAGAAGTTCTACAATAAAAAGAGAACCACAAAATTGGAAGGTCTGTAACTGTCATCCTAAGACCCAAACCAGAAACGATATTTTATTTTTATTTTATTTATTTATTTATTTATTTATTTTTGGTTTTTTCGAGACAGGGTTTCTCTGTAGCTTTGGAGCCTGTCCTGGAACTAGCTCTTGTAGACCAGGCTGGCCTTGAACTCCCAGAGATCCGCCTGCCTCTGCCTCCTGAGTGCTGGGATTAAAGGCGTGCGCCACCACTGCCCGGCTCAGAAACAATATTTTAAAAGCAGATTTTGAGCCACTATTATTGGCATTTCCCATCAAACCTGACAACTTTAGTTCAGTTCCTGGAATCCATATTGTGGATGGAAGTAATAGAACCTACTCTGGGCTGGAGAGATGGCTCTGAGGTTAAGTGCACTGGCTGTTCTTCTAGAGGTCCTGAGTTCAATTCCCAGCAGCCACATGGTGGCTCACAACCATCTGTGAGATCTAGTGCTCGCTTCTGGCGGGCAGGCATACACGCAGACAGAACATTGTATACATAATAAATAAATTAAAAGAAAAAAAAAGAGAACCTACTCCTCATAAATCCTCCAGTGACCTCCGTACATCTACCATAGCAAGAGCGCACTTGCTTGCACACACACTAAACAAATAAATGTAAAAACAAAAATCAAACTAGACTGCGCTAGAATGACAGGAAAGCACCATTAAATTGGGACTCTTCTAAACCGATCCCAAATATCACAGAAACACATTTAGGAGGAAATGAGATTCCAAAGAGAACTTACTGCAGGAAGTGACTGTTGATAGGTCAATTTAAGATAGATATAAGTGCAATAAACCTGGGACTCATCACAGACAGTGAGAAGAAACTGATAGAATGCTTTTATGGCAGAAGCACTGTAAAAACGAAAAGACAGCCTGTGACTTTGGAGAAAAGTATTTACTACAAAGAGCCATGTATAGGACAAAAATACTCCATGGGAAAATGAGGGGAAGAGATATGAGCCAATAAACTATTTTAAATGTAAACTACATTTAAATTTTTAAGAAAGGTGATGTGGGGATGTGGACCACAGTTACAACCCCTTCTAGTCCTGGCTGAAATGCTGAAATCCAAGTCCCAGGCAAGCTTAGACTATAAATTAGACCCTGTCTCAAAAGATCCCAGAATAAGATGCACTTGGTAGCAAACACTTGCAAGAGTATGCATAAGGCACTGGCTTTGACCTCCTGTTCCAAAGTCAAAACAAAACTGAAACACTGATTTGCCCTGACTACCCTAGGGTATAACAACAGCGAGGAGAAATGTAACCACAACAATGCGGAGTCAAGAACGCCACACATTTCAGGTCTCCCTAAGCTTTCCCATTCCCTCACTTCCTACCCCTGGCCCCTTGCAGACAGCCAACCTCTCCATACAGTGTTGGTTTACATTTATCTCCTTTAGCAGTCTGAGTTCAATTAGGAGGAGAAGCAGAACAGCCACTTTAATGGAGAAAGCTTAATCTAAAGAACTGTTAGCTTCAAAGCTGGGCATAGTAGTATATGCCTGTAATATCAGCACGTAGGCGCAGGAGGCAGGAAGATTACTCCAACTTCAAAACCAGCTGGACTATACGGAAAACCCTTCAGTTTAAAAAACAAAACAAGCAAAAAAATGTTAAGAAAGATTGGAGAAATGGCACCTTGAGAGAAACAATAACGGAAATATGAGTATATGGCAGAGCGGATGTTAGGAATGTCCTATACTTCGGGCTGAGAGATGTCGGAGGAGGGCCTTTCTTCCCCAAGAGTAGGACCCTTGAGAAAGGGCCTGCCTGTGTTTCCTGGGGGGCAGTGATTTACTGTGGTGGAGCGCCACCCTGAGTGTGCCAGGGAAAGCTCTGCAGGGAAGGCGGCAAGGAAGACCTCCAGGCCTCGGTGCTGTGGACTGCAGTGCCCTGCGGGAGCTGAGCACTGGCATGGTGGAGGCTGTGTCCACGCAGGACTGCTGAGCTGGCACCTCTCTCATGAGCTACATACATACAGGGTTTCTCCACTGTCCTTATTTACAGAGTTAATGAGTGCCAGCTGGCAGACGAAAAATATTCAAAACGTGAAGGTTTGTTCTTACAGAACAGGTAGAAACATGTCTATTTGTAGGTAAGAACCAATGGACTGGACCCAGCTAACCTTTCTTCCAGGGTTACCATATGCTGTGTGGCTTTGCTGTCTTCATTCATTACTATGTCTTGGAAGTTACTGATTTCAATCTTCATTATAGCTTCATTATTTATTCTACCGTGTGGATTTCCCACAGTGTGTTAAATACTCTCCTAGATATATGTATTTAAGATACTACAAATCTTTTGCAGACTGGATGTGGTAGCTCACATCTGTAACCGTACACTTAGGAGGCTAGCAGACAGACTATGAATGGAAGGTTACCCTGGTCTAGTGAGACCCCACCAAAAAAAAGTAAATTAAGCCGGGCAGTGGTGGCACAGCCTTTAATCCCAGCACTTAGGAGGCAGAGGCAGGCGGATCTCTGAGTTTGAGGTCAGCCTGATCTACTGAAGGAGTTCCAGGACAATCAGTACCAGGGCTGTTACATAGAGAAACCCGGTCTTGAAAAACCAAAATAAATAAGTAAATAAAACTTAAAGAGTGAATAGCTACTGAAGAAAAACACCAACGACTGTCCTTTGGCTTACATGCACACACGCGCGCGCGAGCACACACACACACACACACACACACACACACACACACATGAGTACAAAAGCCCAAAATAGGATACAAAAACTAGCAAATGTATGACAGCATTAAGGAGGACACAGAGAACTGGCTCAGAGCCTGCATGCTGGTGGTGATGTACGGCTGAAGGAAGAACTACTCACCTGTTGGTACTTAACACAGACTGTAGTGGAGCAGTTTGGAAACTGATTGATTACTGGATGTGATTACTGGACTTGAACCCATAACAGGTGCCAGTCCTCAGAGCCATCCTTCTCACAATGATGAGTTGTGGTTTGGGAGTTTGGAGTGTCCAAGTAGAAGACTTGAGAGCTGGCTATCCTTGAGTCAGGATAGTGCTTGCATGACAACTGAATCATGTTCCTAGCCCCTACTGTAGAAGAGGTAGTGATGCACATCTAATCCTGCTGCAGTCAAGCAGAGACATGGGGAGCCTGAGAACAGTACAACAGAAGTGACTTAAGGGTTAAGAATACTGGCTGTTTTTCTAGAAGACCTGGGTTCAATTCCCAGCACCCACATGGTAGCTCACAAACATCTGTAATTCCATTTCCAGGGAATTTGATGTTCTCTTTTGGCTTCCAAGAGCACGAGACACTCAGGCTGACATGTAGGCAAGACATCCATATACATAAAATAATGATAATTAAAAAATAATAAGGGGAACCCAGATATGGTAATGTATGCCTTTAATTCTAGCACTGAGATAGTAGAGGCAGATAGATCTCCAAGTTCAAGGCCATCATGATGTACAGGTTCCAGGCTAGCAGGGCTATATAGTAAGATCCTGTTCCAATAAATAAGTAAATTAATTAAAATAAAATAAAGGAACATGATAAAGATATCCAATGTCAACCTTTGACCTCCATTTACACACACACACATATATATATATACACACACACACACACACAGTGTGTGTGTGTACCAAATGCACATAAAAGTATATATGTAAACTTAGGTTTTTTAATACATAACGAAGGCATAGGAAATATAGCTACTTGTCCATACATGGGTTAACAGACATACATTATTTTGCCTGTCTCAGCTAAAAGGTGTAGAAGCACTAACTCTAGTAATCAAAACACAGTATCTAGATACTGGCTTCTAAATTTGTCTCCCAAGTTGGGCATGATGGTGTAATCTGTAATCCAGTGACTGGAAGATGGAGGCAAGAGACTCAGAGCTCAGGGTCATCCCGTGCTGGATAGTGAGTTCAAGAACAGACTGGGCTACATGAAACCTTGTTTAAAAATAAACAAAAATTTCCTCTCCAGTAAAGGAACTCGGGCTCCTGAAGAGTTAATGCCAGGGTTTGCCTAGGGAAAGTAGAGCATGAGTTTTGAATGTCCATGTTTCCAGAAACTAAGGAACAGACATCTTCCTTCCCTACCAAAAATAATAAAAGACCAGAGCCTGTTGAGGGTTTGGGGCTCCTCATAACCAAAGCTAGGACAATTTGAGCAACAAAATAATATTAGATTTTTAACCCGTGGAATAAAATGAGTGTGAGTAGAGTTTGTACTAGCAGAAGTGAGCAAAGAAGCCGGGCGGTGGTGGTGCTCGCCTTTAATCCCAGCATTTGGGAGACAGAAGCAGGCAGATCTCTGTGAGTGCAAGGCCAGCCTGGTCTACTAGAGCTAGTTCTAGGACAAGATCCAAAGCTACAGAGAAACCCTGTCTTGAAAAACCTAAAAAAGAAAAAAAAAATGAGTGAAGAAAAGCCATGTTAGTTTGCAGTAGAATTCTAGTGGGGGAAAATCATTAGGTATGTGCCACAGTAAATAATGTTGGGGGCGGTGAGATGAGTGCATAAAGAAGCAGCATTGCATGGTCTCAAAGAACCTCTCCAAATCTCTACCTGTTGCTCAGGAAATAAGGACTGTTCTGTGGGGCACTGAGCAGGCAGAATTGACGCGAGCATTATTAGTAACGCTATATGTTAGTACCGGACGCTTGGACTGGGCTGCCCCAAGAATAGCGCCATCAGTCTTGCAATGTTCTTGACAAGATGCTGTTTACTCCAGTTCAAGGAAACTGTAGTCACCTAAATTAAAGGGCATTGTGTAAACTGACTCACTGGCACTCTTCCGCAGTGTCAGAATCATGAAGATGAGGAGAGACTGAGAAACGAACAGGCTTAAAGGGTGAAAGAAAAAACATCATGTAGGATCCTAGATAGGAGTCTGGAACAGGGGAGGAAAAAGCCAGCCCTAAATTAAAGGTTGCGTGCAATCTGGAAACCATCTGCAGCTAATAATCATTGTGCTGAGCCTAATTCCTGTTTGTGATTTTGTGATCCCAGAAGATACTGGAAGGAGGAAGCTGTGGGGAGAGACATAAGGGAGATAGTCTTGTGCTATTTTTGTAATTCAAGTCTAAAAGTAGTCTAAAATATTAAGATTGGAGCTGGTTAGTGTGACTCGGTAGTACAGTGCTTGCATTGTGTATGTGAAACTTTGGGTTTGATTCTTATCCCTGCTAAAACAACAATAAAAAAAAGGCCTAGAGATTGCTCAGTTGTTAGAAACACTTGCTGCTCCTCCAGAAAACCTGAGTTCCATTCCTAGTACCTACATAGGAGCTCACAAATCTGTAATTCCAGTTCCAAGGAATCTGATGTCCTCTTCTGTCCTCTGTGGGCACCAGGTGCACATGTGCACAGACATACATGCATGGAAACACACAAATAAAATAAAAATCTTTTTTTAAAAGATATTTTAAATGTTCAGGAAAGCGTGTTGACTTTTGTTTTCATGTGTCCGTGTCAGTGTTAGGAAGGGGCTCTTGGACTATCGAGAAGAGAACATCATAATAGATCGCGCCTGTAGACAAGAAACATTTGCTTATGAAATGGTAAGTCTCACCTTTCCACCCTTCTCTGCTCTAAGACAGTAAGCTGAGAATGTCACTGACTGTTAGTCACCAAGAGCTAATTGGAGAGCGTCCCCATGGAGCTGAAAGGACCTCACTTTGACTCTACCTCTCTGACTTCTGCTTTAGTTTGTTCTTACTGTCAGTATCCGGCCAAGTTTATGCCTGTTTACCACTCTGTTCCTGGAACCTTTTGTTCTGCTCCTAATTTTACTTTAACCATATTGTTTTGGAACGGGAGCAGATTCCTGTAGATGAGGCTAACCTTGAACTCTCAAAGATTAACCTGCCTCTATCTCCTAAGTGCCGGTATTGAAGGCTTGTACCAGCACACTCAGCTTTTAAAACTATAGACTTAATCTATTGCTTCCTGTGTGAAACTCTAAGACAAAGTGAAAGTGACTGAGTTTGAGGTCAAGCCTGGTGTCTGTAGCAAGTTCTATGCTAACCAAGACCACACAGTAAGACCCTGTCTCAAAAAACAATCAAAAAGTAACAAAGACTAGCCAGATGTGGTGGTTTACACTTTTAATCCCAGCATTTGGGAGGCAGAGGCAGGTGGATCTTTGTAAGTTCGAGGCCAGCATGGTCTACAGAGCAAGTCCCAGAACAGCAAGAAAACCCCTGTCTTGAAAATCCGGGGGGGGGGGGGGGGGGGGNGGGGGGGGGGGGGGGGGGGGGGGGGGGGGGGGGGCTTCACAAAGATGCTTACTGATCATCACTTCCAGGACCAGACATTTTCTGTAGCCAGTAAGAAATGACTTAGTGTCCTTTCATTGGTAACCCTGGTCTGTATGAAATTGCTATTCTATGTACATATTCACATACGTGGAATTACATGATCTTTTTCTTTCTGTGTGGTTTGTTTAGCATAAAGTTTAAAGTTTCCTCCATGTTGTCGCATATGTTAGAACTTCTTTCTTTCTCTGGCCAAATGAAATCTTTTGTTACATGGATGCACCACATTCTGTTGGTTAGTGCGCTGTTAGCTTTTAGCTTGTTCCCACCTTTCGGTTATTGTGAATAATACTGAAGTATAAGGAAGTGTTTGAGTTCTGTTTTCAGTTCTTTTCATGATACAGCTGGGGTGGAGTTGCTAGGCACTATAGTGATTGCTTAAAATTTTATAGACATGTGATAATTCTGCATTAGTTCTATTGTCTCCCATAAAAAGGTGCATTTTGTACCTACTAGTAATTCATTAAGCTTAGTTTCTTCAGATCCTTTTCAATTCATACATTGTTAAGAATAACCACCTTAGCAGAGACCTATCTTATTTTAAAATTTTATTTTTGATTTGTCCTTTCCTAATGGTTAATGATGGTAAGCATTTTTATATAATTATTGGTCATTTGTATATTTTCTTTGAAAAACATCTATTCTAAATTCTAATTTCTTTTTTTTTGTTGTTTTTGTTTTTTGAGACTGGATTTCTCTGTAGCTTTGGAGTCTGTACTTGAACTCACTCTGTAGATCAGGCTGACTTTGAACTCACAGAGTCTTGTCTTTGCCTCCCCAGTGCTGGGATTAAAGGCACTTCGGTAGGATTTGCTGAAGGAGGTGGAGACAGGAGGATCATGAGTTCAAGGTCAGACTGGGCTATTCTAATTCTTTACCAATTAGAATATATTGTCTTGTTAGTTTCACTCTTCTGATGTTTTCAGGTTTTAAAACTTTGATTCATTTTGATTTTTTTTAACATAAAAAGAAAGCTATTTTATGTTTGGGGATTATGCCTGCATGTAGGTCTGTCCAGCACCCGTGTGTCTGATGCCCTTGGAGGCCAGAGAGGGTGCTAAATCCCTTGGAACCATAGTTAAAGATGGTTGTGAACCCTATGTGGATACTGGAAACCAAACCCAGGTTCTCTTAAAAAAGAAATGCTCTTAACTGCTGAACCATCTCTCCAGCCCCATTTTGAATTAGTTTTAATATGTGATGTAAAAAAGGCCAACTTCATTCTTTCATACATAGTAGTACAAACCAGCCCACAGACTGCAGCCAGGTAGGGGTATGGTACAGAGCACCCTTGTCTCCTAAAAGCATAATTTTTAAATTGTTTGTCTGTGTTTGCTTTTGTTTTGTTGAGACCTCAGGGTCTCAACTGTGTAGCTCTGGCTAGCCTAGAACTTACTATGTAGAGCGGGCTGAGAGATCTGCCCACCTCTGCCTTTGGTCCTGGGATCAAAGGTGTGTGCTACTCCACTGGCACTCAAAATAATATAAAATTATAAGTGTTACACAGAAGCTAGTCAAGGTTTCTCTAGCACTGGCTAATATAAAACATGATGAAGATACTTTAGAAACAAACTTCAGAAAAGGGTGACAAGATGAGTTTCTGTGGCTAATTTGGTGGTGTAAACATGCCCTCTCTCCCTCTCCTCCTCCTTCACTCCCTCCTTCCATCCTTTTCTAATTTATTTCTAGGAAGCAGGAAACACTAGGTGGTCCCTTTTGTGAGCAGTCAGGAAGTGAATAGAGATGGATGGATTGGGTCTAGGCTGAGTGCTAGCCTGAAATGTCAGGCCAAGGCTCAGATCCCCAGTGCTAGGGATAGGATATCTCACTAGAATACCATCTTAATTTGGTCACATATGATGAAAAAGATAAATGTTTAAGGTTGTCCTCCATGTACAAGCTTCTCTTAAGAGTATCCAGTATGCTGCCCTTCACTATCTTCCCTTGTGTACCTTTTCCTATGGTTGGCTTATAAATGGGTTTTGTTTTGTTTTAATATTGTGTATATTTGTGTGCCGGAGTGGGAATTTATGAACATGCCTGCAGTGCCCATGGATGCCAGAAGAGGGCTTTGAATCCCCTGAAGCTAGATTCATGGGCAGTTTGAGCTGCCCTACATGGATGCTGCAACCCAAACTCAGGTCCTCTGCAAGAGCAGTACATACGCTTAACCTCTGAATTGCCTCTTCAGCCCATTGATTTGTTTTTGAGAAGGGTCTTCCTGTATAGCCCAGGCTGGCTTCAGACTTTAAAACCTTCCTGTCCCAGTCATCCCTGTCCCCACATTGCTGGGGTAACGGCATACAGCACTGTGCATGGCTGTACTGTTGAATTTCTAAGACTGTCGAGCATTTGGGATTTTCAGTTTTCCCTATTATTAATGTCTAGGGTTATCGAATTGTGGTCAGAACTACTCTGTATGGTTTTAGTTCCTTAAGTCTAGAATGGTTCATGTGCACCCGAGAAGGCTACTGCTGGCTGAAGAGTCCTGCAATTTTTGTCTTTGTTTTTGTGTTCAGTTCGTTCTTCCACTGCCTAATGAATTCTTGTCTGAGTTCATTATTGTAAGAAAAATATCAAAGTCCAGAATCATTTGGTTCTTTTTTTAAAACTTATCAGTTTTTTCGCATATATTTTAGGATCCTTTTGCTCTTTGTAATTATGTGTCTCAGTACTGTATAGCACCTTTTATCAACATGTAATACCGTCTCATAATCTCTCTTAAACCTTGTTTAAGATTAACAGAGACAGCAAAACAACTTCCAACAGTTTTTTGGTTTTTCGAGGCAGGGTTTCTCTGTGACTTTGGAGCCTTCCCTGGAACTAGCTCTTGTAGACCAGGCTGGCCTCGAACTCACAGAGATCCACCTGTCTCTGCCTCTTGAGTGCTGGGATTAAAGGCGTGCGCCACCACAGCCTGATGCTTCCAACAGTTTTCTTTTTTTATGATTGCCTGGACTATCTTCTACCCTGTTACTTTCAACATGTTTCTATCGTAGTATCTAAAATGAGTCTCCTGTAAACAATATACAGCTGAATAAAGTTTTTGCAATCCAGTCTGTCAGCCTGCCCTTTCAATAGGAGCATCCATTTACAGCTACACTGGTTACTGGTAAAAAAGGGCTTCTAGCCGGGCAGTGGTGACGCACACCTTTAATCCCAGCACTTGGGAGGCAGAAGCAGGTGGATCTCTGTGAGTTCCGAGGCCAGCCTCACAGAGTTCCAGAACAGCCAAGGCTGTTATATAGAGAAACCCTGTCTCGAAGCGGGGAAAGAAAAGAGCTTCTGTTATTCAGGTCTTTGGTTGTCCTTTGTTCCTATGTTATTTCATTATTTCCTTACTTTAGATACTAATTTTTGTTGTATATCTGTTTGATGCCCACCTCCCTCCTTTTCTGCCTTTATTGAAAATACCTTGTCGGTGGTTACCGTGTATGGCTCCAAGCCACTGCCTTTTCACTGCAGTCTGAAGGTCTGCTGCTGTGTACATCAGCGTCTGCGTCTTCCCTTCATCACTAATAGTTTTGGTAGATACAGAATTCTGGGTGACTGTTTTCTTTCATGGTTTGAAGTGTGTCATCTGACTTGTTTCTTGTCTTTTCTGATGAGAAATCTGCTGTTGAAACAGTTGAGGAACCTGATTTCCTGTAGTTAAGTATTTGGTTTTTATGGCAGCTGGCTTAGCATCTTATTTTATTTGCTTTTATTCAATAGACTTTTATTTATATGTGAGTCATTAAAACATTTTTTTTTTCATTGTATTCAGAGAGATGCGTGAGACTGTTGGGCAGGAGGTACACACACCATGTCTATACACCTGCCGCAGCATTATGTGGTCAGAGGACAACTTAGAGGACACAGTTCTCTTCTTCCCTGGAAGGGTTGCTAAGATCACGAACTCAGGTTGCCAGGCAACAGACTCTTTACCTGCTGAGCCATCTGCCAGACCTCATTAATTACCTTTAATTTTTTTCAAGATGCTGTGTAGCTCTGGCTGTCCTGGAAGTCACTTTGTAGAACATGCTGGGCAGAGAGATGTCAGAGAGAATGTACAGAATCTGCCTGCCTCTGCCTCTTGAGCGCTGGGTTTAAATTACTCTTTAACTAGTTTCCTTGAGGTCAGTTAATATAAAATTCCTACTTTCCTGTAAATGAGCCATATTTTCCTGTTCCATGCCTGAGTTTTTGTTGAAAACTAAACATTATTGTTATGCTCTTTCCAGACTGTTTTGCTTTGTGATAATTCTATTCAGTTACCTCTGTGTTTATCAGTGACCTAAATGTCTGGCTTCAAAAATTAAAATTAAAAAAAAAACCTATAAGAAAGGTTATGTAAATATCCCAGTAGGTGGCTCTGCCCGGTACTGTCTACAGGGCCAGTCAAGGCCAGCGCACCAAACACAACCCTACATTGTAAGGACAGGGTCTCTGCTTGTCTGCCCTGGCGCTGCCCTCCTGTTGTTTAGGAGCTGCTATCTCACATCTGCAGGGGGTGGAGGGAATAGTGAGAAGTATTGGTTTGCATATACTGCTTATTTGCAGAATACAATCAGCTTCTCCAAACACTCCTGCATATGGGAATCACTTTCCAGACTTCCAAAGTAATATATTCCATTTTATCTTCTCAGCCTAGGGCTCCTTCTGTAGAGAGGACTTCCTACTCTGCATGACATCACTTCCACTTCTTAAAAACACAAATATTTATTAGTTTATGTGTATGTTTGCATACCTACATGTACAAATGTAACACCACATACAGAAGGCAAAAGAGCGCATCAGACCCCCTAGAACTGCAGTTACAGGTGTTGTCTACCAGTGTGGATGCTGGAGCCTAAACCTGGGACCTCGGCAGAGCACTCACTGATCTTAATCACCAAGCCCTGATTCACACTAATTTTTTTTCTTTTGGTTTTTCAAGACAGGGTTTCTCTGTAGCTTTGGAGCCTGTCCTGGAACTAGCTCTTGTAGAACAGGCTGGCCTCGAACTCACAGAGATCCACCTGTCTTTGCCTCCCGAGTGCTGGGATTAAAGGCGTGCGCCACCAGCGTCCAGCTCTTCTCAGTAATTTTTAAAACAAAACTGTTGTACTTTAGTGGCCCCTTATAATTATTAAGCACATATAAAACAATATGGTATATTAAAGATCATATATATTTGCAATCCTGAGTAGATTGCTGAACCTCAAGCTTTCTCTTAAAACTGATTTTATAAGCATATTAAAGGCTGTAAACAAGGAGTAGTGATGAGAAATGCCTTTCAGAACAGCAATTGGCCAACATTCCTGTTTATCATTGGTTGTTAAGCATATAACACCAAATGTCTTCTTACATGTTTTATGTGCCCATTCCCAAGAAACAGTCTGTAAAAAGTATTCTGTTATTACAATAGGTGAAGCTGAGCATAAGGAGACAAACCATTCCTCACTAGGAATTGGCCATCAAACCCAAGGCTGACTGGAGCCCTCGCTAGGGGTTCTGCATTGCATTGTCTCTTAGCTGAGTTACGATGACTGATTTCAATCAAGGTCTTGTTTTCTTTCTTCAGGAATCTCATGCACTTGGGAAAAAACCTAAAAATCCAGAAGACATGATCGAAGAAGGGGAGCTCATCTTATCTGTGAACATCTTATACCCTGTTATATTTAATAAGGTCAGTAGTGAAACCCGGTTTTGTTTGAGTATTAGGGGTAGAACCTAGGCCCGCAAGCATACTAAGCAAGCACTTTACCATGGGGATACCACTAGTCCCTAAAAGGAACTTTTAACAAGGTATTTAATTATTTGAGTTCTAACTCAGGTTTCAAAATAAATGTTAGCATACACAGTCTGACATCTTACTTTTTAGGACTGACAGGGTGTATTTGTTTTAATAAGAAATATTCCCCTGGGTAGTGGTGGTACACGCCTTTAATCCCAGCACGCGGGAGGCAGAGGCAGTTGGATCCCTGTGAGTTCGAGGCCAGCCTGGTCTACAGAGTGAGTTCCAGGACAGGCTCCAAAGCTACAGAGAGACCCTGTCTTAAAAAAACCAAAAATTATACCCAGCACCTTGTGCATGGTAGATATATACTTTACCACTAAGCCAACTTTGGTACGTTGGTCTTCTAATTAATGGATATGAAATATACAAATACAGGAACTAAGAAAATACAGAATGCCAACTTATGAATGTGATTTGTTTTCAGTACTATAAATCAAACTCAGAAGCTTGTGCATACTAGGCAAGTGCTGACTACAGAACCTTGTCCAGCCTAACGGGGTAGGTTAAATAAAGAAAATCACACCTGATGTGCACATACCTTTAATCCCAGTACTCAGGGAAAGGCAGGTCACTCTCTGAGTTCAAGGACACCCAGGGCTACACAGGGAAACCCTGTTTCAAGTGGGGGGAAGTAGTAACTTGATTTAGATGAGGTCTTGGTGGGATTTGTGGTTATCTGGATTTTATAATGGACACTTAATTACTGTTTGACTTCAGCACAAAGAACACAAGCCATACCAGACAGTGTTGGTACTGGGCAGTCAGAAGCTAACTGAACTGCGGGATTCAATTTGCTGTGTCAGTGACCTCCAGATTGGTGGAGAATTCAGTAGCACTCCAGACCAAGCCCCGGAGCATATCAGCAAAGTAAGGTGACCTTTCCCTTCCCCCTTAAAAGAAGAAAACAGTAAGCAAAAGAAACAGTAATTGCTGCAGCAGGGTCATGAGTGTTGATTGTTCTCATGGTTCTTGTGACTGACTGAGGTGCTGCCATGTCTTCTTCTGCCATCCCTCCAGCCTTTTAGAGGCAGTATTTGTGTTCCTCAGTGCTCACCATTTACAGCTGGTCTGGGATGTTCTTACTTCTGAGCTAATACTGACCAGCTAGCTGTCTGGCCCCTTGTTCTCTTTTCCTTTTCCTTACAGTCGGACTTCACCGTGGCTTCCTTATTCATTTGTTTTTATTTAGTGCTAACGAAGCATTCTCCACTGAGTTACAGCCCTGGCCTTATTGTTGCTTTGATTTTGTTTTCATCCTTTCCTGTTTAAAATGCTGTAAGGTTTTCAGCCCACCTTAAGTACCTTAAGGAAGAGTCTGGAGTTCGCTAAGAGCCTGTCATTTGCACTCCTTCACTGCTTGTAGGAGCAATAAGTATACAGGCCAATATCAGACAAGGAGATGTGGAAAGTTGATCTTTGCTGGCCGGCCTTTCCTGATAAGGGGCACTCTTCATGAGACAGAAATGCCCCGAGTACCTCTTGGAGAGGAGCGAAGTATCAGGTGGGCTGCCAAAAACATTTTCAGAGTAACAAACAGAATGACCTAATATCGCTGAATTCTCATGACAGAGATTCTGTTACTGGTGCCTACTTGGCAGAGAAGCCAGGGTTGACTTGCCTGCTGAGGAGAGAGCATCTCTGCAGGCACATAAAATGACATCTGAAACAAGTAGGATGAAGCTAGAACTTGGAGAAGGATCAAAAGTCAGTCTTTTTCCACCAGTCATGTACATTTTATTTCTTTGATTTTTGAGCCCCATGTTAGCATCCCATGTGACTTCACATAGTGAATTTGTGTGTCTGTCTTCCGTGTGTTCCATTTCCTGTTTTGAGTATCACGGTGTGGCAGAAGCATTTTACCATGCACCTGGGGGTTCACAGTCACATTTCCAAACTTGATTCCAGGCCTTCTGTGTCTGTTACAGGGCATAGTATATCCTGGTGCAGTTTCCATGTTTGCCCTATAAACCACCATCTTCTAGTGACTGACATGGAAATCAGCATCATAGCTCAGGCAGAGATTACACTGAACGTCTGTGGTTATGTTGAAGATGGTTTTAACATATGTAAACTCTTCCAAATTGTCCCGTCAGTGCTTGGGGAGATATCTGCCATGATAAAGAGAAACAAATGGAATTTTAAGGAAATGTTTTGTTTTGTTTTGGTTTTTCTGAAGGAAGAAAGCACTGGTCTTTTGCAGGCTTTCTTAACCCTAGCAGAAAAGGAAGGTATAAGTTTAAATTAATTTAACGTGAGTTGGGCATGGTGGTACACTCAGGAGGCAGAGGCAGGCAGATCTCTGTAAGTTCAAGGCCAGCCTGGTCTACATAGCAAATTCCAGAACAGTTGGGGCTACATAGAGATTTTTTTCTTTGAAAACAAAAGGGCAAAAAGAACTGATGTGAAAAATCTAAACTCACCTTCTGTAGCAATCTGTCGCATTGGTCAGAGCTGTTTGAATCAGCTATGCTGGTCATTCCTAGTCAGCGGGACTAGTCAGTTTATAGAATTTGCACCTTGGTGCCAAACCCTTCAGTTTTCTAAGCAGAAACTAAACAGTTTGTCTTATTACATTTTTTAAAATTTGTATGGGTGTTTTGCCTACATGTCTATACCACATGTATGCAATGCCTGAGCGAGCCAGAAGAGGGCACTGGGTCTAGAACCTGGAGTTAGGGATGCTTGTATGCTCCCATGTGGGTTGTGAGCTGATATGTGGGTGCTGGGGATGAAACCCAGGTTCTCTGGAACAGCAGTTGCTCAGAACCACTAACTAAATACTGCCTTATTTAATGATATCTACAGCCATGCTGCTACATTGTTTCTGCTTTTGTCTATAAATAATAGCCTGATCGTGTAGCAGTTATGTGCCCAGAATATGCTGCCTTGGAAAGAAAGAGAGCAGTCATGAGTTCCATCCAACAAGCAGTGGTGGAGGCTGAAGTCAGATCCATGTTTTCCCCTCCAAACCCCTGCTTCTGGCTGTGGATGGCTATCCGGTAATGAGGCCCCGAGAAACAGTGTGATTAACTTCACCTGCAGGCTTCTAGCACAGGGCTTTATTTATCTGTCCTGAAATCTGCTTCATCTGTCTCATCTTCTTTAGCGATGTTTTAGAATCCTATGAAGTTTAAAAGCATTTAGAAGGACAGATAGCAATAAATGAGGTATTAATGAACCTAGCACCTTTTTGTTGTTGTTACTGGGTTTTGTTTTTGGTTTGGTTTTTTTGCATAGCATAGCCCTGGCAGTCCTGGAACTCATTTCTGTAGACCAGGCTGACCTTGAATTCACAGAGATCCACCTGTTTTTTCCTCCCAAGTGGTGAGATTAAAGGTGTGTGCCATCATGGCTTGGCTTGAGCCTAACAATTTAAGAGCCTTAAAAAAACTATTTCGTTGACATTTGTATTTTGCAGTGTTGTTGGGGTCCTTTTCCCCTCATTTGTAAGGGCTCAAGCATATAATGAATACAGAGAATAGATGAACCTCATGTGTTCATTACCTATGATCAGTATTCTCAGCTTTTTCCCAAAATTATTCTGTGTTGTATACACCAAAGAAAAGTGAAAATAAGTCCTTGGGTTGATGATTTGGTGGTTCCCCAGCATGTATCCCACTGGCAGTTGTGGACGAGGTGTACAGGGCCTGTAGTTTATACAATGAGTCATTGCCAGTGTGCCAGAACTCGGGTAAAATTTCAGTGTATTTAAGTACCTATAACTTTAAAGTGGAAAAGAATTTGCTGATATTTGTTTTTTTTATTATAATTGTTTTTAGAATGGAACTGTATTTTTAAAACAAATGTGTAAACAATGCTAGTATTTTCTGATCAAGTATCAAATATATTGTCTTCCTATGTGTCCTGACTGGCTTGGAACTTGTAGTTCTTCTGCTTCAATTTCACTAGTACTGGAAATAAATCTGCCTGTTACCTGTTTGTACAATGAGGAGAGGTTATTAACAGGTAACTTTTGGTGGAAGCCATTCTTTTTTTTTTTTTTTTTTTTTTTTTTTTTT